TATGCAGACTTTCTGAACGGCCAAGGCAAAGAGCTTATCTAGAATAATACAACGGAAGAACACAGATGGGTTTAGATGCTATCATCCTCGATGCCACGTAAAGATCTCTTTCACATTTTTTTTTTGGCTTTTTGGCCTTTTGGGTCAAACCCAGAGGTGCACGGGGGTTATTTCTGGCTCTGCACTCAGGAATTGCTCCTGGGGGTGAGTTTCAAGTTCTATTTAACAGAAACTTATTTGACATCCCCCAAACCCCAACACCAACCCCAGCCCCAACCCCAACGCCAAACCTAACCCTAACTCTTAACCCTAACCCTAACCCTAACTCTCTTTAACAGAAACTTATTTGACATCCCCCAAACCCCAACCCCAACGCCAACCCCAACCCTAACCCTAACCCTAACCCTAACCCAACCCAACCCTAACCATCTCCCTAACCCTAAACCTAACCCTAACCCACTAACCCCCCTCACCCCCCTAACCCTAACCCCAACCCTAACCCCCCTAACCCTAACCCCCCTCACCCTAACCACCTTCACCCTAACCACCCTCACCCTCACCCTCACCCTAACCCAAACCAACCCTTCCCTAACCCTAACTCAATGATGCTGGAATCGAACCCAGGTTGGCCGCGTGCAAGACAAACGCCCTACCCGGTGTGCTATCGCTCCAGTCCTTCTTCCACATTTTTCAATGGAGGTGATAAAACCTTGTCATGTATGATTTAGATGTTTCTTACGTAACATCTGCTTGTCCTTTATAGCTCTTTATGGTTCTCCAGTTGGAAGCAGAGTAAACCAAAGCTCGTACTTGAGCAAAGTTAGGTGAGAAATTTTGACCCGAGGCTGGAAGGTGTTAGGAAAAGACAGTGAATCCAACACATCCATTTCCCTAAATCTCCCTTCTCACCAAAAATAGCAGGAAAGGAATATTCAACCACACACACACACACACACAAACACACACACACAGAGTGGAGAAAACACACAGAGGAACAATAAGGACAAATGAAAAGAAGGAAACACCAGTTAAACTTTTACACGGGAGGAACAAAGGCACGTGGATCCCGGGGCTGAGATCTCCAAGCCTACTTGGATCGGGGCTGAGCATCCTCCACCCAGATCCTCCAAATTCCAGTAGGCGGGGGTCACACCCACCAACTGGCCCCCTGGCACCGTGTAATCCCATCAATGGCCAAGACCCAGAGACTATAAAACCCAGCTCCCGGAAGCGCGCGGCCGAATTTGCGGCCGCGCAACATCTTATTATCTCATTCCTACTTTGGACAACCTGGCAGGCTACCGAATGTAACCTGCCCACACGGCAGAGTCTGGCAAACTCCCCGTGGCGTACCCAATATGCCAAATACCAGTAACAATGATGGGTCTACTCTCGGTAGCTTGCCGGGCTCTCCGAAAGAGGCAGAGGAATTAAACCCGGCTTGGCCGGGCTGGCTGCATGCAAGGCAAACGCCCTACCGCTGTGCTATCGCTCCAGCCCAGTAATAATAATAAAATGTGAAAGAACAGGAATCTGGAGATTTGGGGGAAAATTATTTAATTTCATTAAGTCTCCTTTTTTTAAAAATTGAATCAGCATGAGCTACAGTTACAAAACCTTCATGTTTGAGTTTCAGTCATACAATGATCAAACACCCGTCCCTCCACCAGTGCCCATTCCCCACCACCAATGTCATAGAGACCAGGGCCGGGAAGATTGCCCCATGGTTGGCAGCCGCCTCGTGAGCTGGGGGAGAAGGCAGCTGGGATAAAGAAGGGACCACTGAGTCAGTGATGGTTGGAGGGGTCGCTCGGGATGGGAGACGTGTGCTGAGAGTAGACAAAGGACCCAACGTGACGGCCTCTCCGTGTCTGTTGCAAACTGTGGTGCCCCAAAGTGGAGAGAGTGTAAGAAGAAACCTTTTATAATGAGAAAAATTAAGTTTTTCTTTCTGCAAATGGGCAAGTGACTTTCTGAGTGTAAGTGACCATCAGTGGAGCAAAGAGAGGAGTCCGTCCAAATCCATGGTCAGTTTGTGGACTCCAGGCCAATCACCCACACCCTTGGCAGAATGGCGTGCGCTCTCTCTCTCTCTCTCTCTCTCTCTCTCTCTCTCTCTCTCTCTCTCTCTCTCTCTCTCTCTCTTTCCCCAATACCTTTGTCAATCCGATTAGTTGCCTGGAGCTAATTTTGCTGGGATCATCAGTAGCCAGAGAGCTTAAGCCTGAGCTTCAAGCTGTCCGAGTTCAGGGCCCACTTGCAGCCTGACTTTCTTACCCGCTGGGCATCACCAAGGACGTCGGGTTCAGGGACAGGAAAACTGTGAGTCCATGGACCATTTTCTTAATAATGTGCTTTTAAAAAATGTGGATTTAGGGGAAAGAAGAATGATTTCGCTGTTGATACATTCTTACACCACTGATATACCAAGAGTAGCACACCATGTTTGATGGGGTTTAAAGCAGAAGGTAATCAATATCTTAGGAGAAAAAATATATTTGTGTGTGTATTATATATAATATAATATAATATATTATATATGTGTGTGTTATATATGTTATATTACATGTAATATATGATATCACTGTATCACTGTCATCCTGTTTTTCATTGATTTCCTCGAGCAGGCACTAGTAACGTCTCCTTCGTCCTAGCCATGAGATTTTATTTTATTTTATTTTATTTTAATTTTTTGCTTTTTGGGATCACACCTGGCAATGCACAGGGTTTACTCCTGGCTCTGCACTCAGGAATTACTCCTGGCAGTGCTCAGGGGACCCTATGGGATGCTGGGAATCGAACCCGGGTCGGGTGCGTGCAAGGCAAACGCCCTCCCCGCTGTGCTATCACGATGCACAGGGGTTATTCCTGGTTCATGCGCTCAGGAATTACTCCTGGAAGTGCTCAGGGGACCCTATGGGATACTGGGAATCGAACCTGGGTCGGCCGCGTGCAAGGCAAATGCCCTCCCCGCTGTGCTATTGCTCCAATCCCCAAGCCCTGAGATTTTAGAAAGTGCCACATTCAAGGCTCTTTCAGGGTCAGGAGAATGAGACCCATCATTGTTACTGGGTTTTGGCATACTGAATACGTCACGGGGAGTTTGCCAGACTCTGCCGTGTGGGCAGGATACTTTTGTAGCCTGCCAGGTTCTCCAGAGTAAGAACTTGATAATAAAAAAACAATATATATAGAATATGAACACACATACATATATAAGCACACACGGTTTATAGATAGATTTATAAGCACACAAGGCTCAGCCCTTAACAACATGTTAGTAATCTCTCATAGAAGGGCTTAACGGCTCCAGGGTGAGATACAACAATCTTCACACACTTTCCTCTAAGAAAACTTTTTGGGATCATTTTTAGCGGATTGTTGATAACAAACAGTACAAAATAAATTATTTCAGTTCTGCTTTGGGGGCAGGGTTTGGAGTTCGGGATGAAAATATTCGAAATATAAGGTGTCAGGGTGGTGGTGGGATTGGTGTTTTTGAATATTAAATGTCATCAGTGATGGTGAACAACTTTATAAAAATTCAATTCAATTAAAAGAAGAATTTACAGTCTTGATGTAGGTATTGTAATAACCAGGTCAGTATGGTCCTTTTTCCTTTTTAGTTTGTAGTGTAAATACAAGACAACATGTGGTTTTTGAGTCTGATTGTCTAGACGGTTAAAATTCAAAAGATGAGGAGAGAATCAGTTTGAAATCAACAATTTTTCTGTCCTCCCTCTGAGTGACAAAATTGGAGAAAATATGTTACGTCCCCAGGACCCTATTGAAGACTGAGCCCCACACGGTGTAAATTTGGGAGTTTTTTTCTCTTGCACTGAAATGCTCTTCCCTCTGACAAGATCCTGAGAACTCGACCTTTTTACTTGATACTATTTTTAGTTGTTTCATCTTTAAAGAGGGATAATAACATGTTTGATGATAATGATTTCCTCTTTAACCATTCAACGAGAAAGAACTGATGCTTTTAAAAGAATGCATGGAATTTGTTCATGTTAGGTAAACACAGTAAATTGTTTTCTTTGAGTTGGTTTTCTTTTACTTTTCTTGTTTTACTCCCTTGGAGTGATTATTTTACTGATAAGAGCTGCCATCATGAAAATAAGCAAAGGAAGATTTTGCCATTGTTTCGCCGTGAAAAATACTTTGCATTATGGCGTCCATTCAAAATAGATATCTTGCTTTTTTATTAATGTTATTTAAATAATCTAACTTTAAAGGTAGAAAAAAATTAGGACCTTTTTTACTGGATATACACCCAGTAATGCTCAAGGGTTACTCCTGGCTCTGTGCTCACTTCTGGCAGGGCTCAGGGGACCGTTTGGAATTCTGGGGCGTGAATCCAGGTTTTTTACATGCAAGACAAACACCCTACCTGTGGTACTATTTCTCCAGCCCTAGGGAAAAAAGAAATGATTTAATTCATCATGGCATTTGGGCAGCCCTAAATGTCCGGTGTACAAACAGAGTTCCATAAGTCATTGTCATATCACATATTTGGGTTATTCATGACCATGTTTATCAAGAAATTCAAACAGTAAGTAAGTACCAAATAAACACACTTATGAGATGTAGAGATAATAAAAACAAGATCGGCCCAAATGTTGTAGGGAGGGAGGGTACTGAAGTAGAAGAAAAAATACAATCAAGGCAAAAAATTCTGCATGTGATTCTCGGGAAAGTACCCAACAGCCTCAGCCCAGGGCTAAAGTATACATTAATTTTTTAAACTAAGTTGGGAATCTTGGTAAGAGCTACGGTTTTTACTGGCCTTGGGTATTAGTCTCATTATATATATATATATATATATGTCCTAGAATATATAATAACTCCTAGACTGTGTAACTCCTAGTATATATAATAACTTCTAGACTATATAATAGGTCCCAGTATATATAGTAACTCTACTATGTATAACAACTCCTAGAATGCCCGTCACCATTACTTCCTTGTCCATTTTACAGATTGAAATATCTGAAATGGAAGAAGCCCACGGTCAAAGCTTGGAGGATGACTTTGAGGGACAGGCCACACACACTGGTAAGCAAGAAAAAGTACAGGGAAAAATTTATCAGGAGAGAGCCCAGGGGTAAGGTGCTCGCCTGCAGGCGGTTGACCTGGGCTGATCCCTCACACCCCGTAGGGACTCCCGGGAAGGACCCCTGAGCACAGCTGAGTATGGCATGGCGGAAGGAGGGAAGGAAGGAAGGAAGGAAGGAAGGAAGGAAGGAAGGAAGGAAGGAAGGAAGGGAGGGAGGGAGGGAGGGAGGGAGGGAGGGAGGGAGGGAGGAAGGAAGGAAGGAAGGAAGGAAGGAAGGAAGGAAGGAAGGAAGAAGAGAGGGAAGGAAGGAGAGAAGGAAGGAAGAGAGGAAGGAAAAAAGGAAGAATGGAAGGAAGGAAGAAAGGTGGGAAGGAAGGGAAGGAGGGAGGGAGGAAGAGGAAGGAAGGGAGGAAGGAAGGAAGGAAGGGAGGAAGGAAGGAAGGGAGGGAGGGAGGGAGGAAGGGAGGCCTTAGTTCCTGTGTCCCGGGTGGGTCCTGGCAGCCGTAGGGCTGGTGGTCATAATTTTCCAGGAACTCACAGCCATGGGGTGGGTGTATTGGGGGGAGGGGGTTTCCCTCCCTACCTGCCACGTGCTTTACTCGGAATTATTCAGTAGATTCTAAAAATATTCCAGTGGGTCCATTAATGTGAAGTCAAATAAACTGAAAATGGGTCGAAATGACAAAGAAGAAGGACAAACAATAATTATGGGGAATTTTTCCCCCCTGGACCCTACCTACCTTACAATTAAGTTACTTCCTCTCTTTTGAGTCTGCCACTAAGGACCAGCCTTGCTAAAAAAAAAAAAAAGAAAAGATAAATAAATAAATAAAATAGAAAAAGATAAGGAGAGAAAGCCTTCAATTTAAGAACTTTGTACATAATTATAAAATATTCCTGGGGCGGTGGGTAGTTGGGGTCACACTGAGAGGTACTTCAGGCTGCATTCAGGGGACCTTATACGGGGTGTCAGGGCTCAAACCCAGGTCAGCCCCATGCAAGCAAGCGCCTTAACCCTTGCCCTTGATAAAACCTTCTTAGTCAAGTGGGGTTTCATACTCCAGAGAATCATCCCAGGGGTTCCCCGGGGTAAGGACCAGGATTCTGTCCCTAGCACCAAAATTTTCCCGAGAACTGCCAGGAGTGACCGCCCCCCCCCCCCGCCCCCGAGCTCCGAAGTAACCCCCAAACACTTCCAGGTGTGGGACCCAACAGCGAGTGTATGGAATGCTTGTCTATGCACTAAAAGTCAAGTTCATGGCTTAAGTTCACATTTTTCAAGTTTACTTTTTTTTTTTTTTTTTTTTTTGCTTTAAGGGTCACACCCGGCGATGCTCAGGGCTGACTCCTGGCTCAGCACTCAGGAATCCCTCCTGGCGGTGCTCGGGGGACCCTAGGGGATGCCAGGGATTGAACCCTGGTCGGACCGTGCAAGGCCAACGCCCTCCCCACTGTGCTATCGCTCCAGCCCCTCAAGTTTACTTTAACTCGGGGGAGTCTTATTGGTTATAATCACCTGTCTCCCATTTGGATTTTGTCCCCTTTGGATTTTGGGCCACACCTGGCGATGCTCAGGGCTTAACTCCTGGGTTGCAGGAATTAAACCTGGGTGGGCCACATGCCAGGCAAACACCCTTGCTGCTGTAGTATCACTCACTATCCCCCCATCTGTTTTTGATCATATTAATCAGAGCCTTTAAATTTATGTTTATGAGAGAGAGAGAGAGAGAGAATGGGTAAGCTTTACAAAGTAAAATATATTTCGAATGTCTTAGCAATAGCACAGCGGGAACGGCGTTTGCCTTGCACACGGTCGACCTGGGTTCGATTCCTCCGCCCCTCTCGGAGAGCCCGGCAAGCTACTGAGAGTATCTCGCCCGCACGGCAGAGCCTGCCAAGCTCCCCGTGACGTATTTGATATGCCACAGTAACAGCAAGTCTCACAATGGAGACGTTACTGGGCCCACTCGAGCAAATCGATGAACAATGGGAAAACAGTGCTACCGTGCTATTCTTAAGAATTTTGACATCTTTCAAACACTTACTGTTTCTTGTACTAACTGGACCTTAGAATACTGTTTGATTGGGCTGGAGCAATAGAACAGCGGGGAGGGTGTTTGCCTGGCACGCGGCCGACCTGGGTTCGATCCCCGGCATCCCCTAGGGTCCCCCGAGCACCGCCAGGAGTGATTCCTGAGTGCAGAGCCAGGAGTCAGCCCTGAGCATCGCTGGGTGGGACCCAAAAAGCAAAAAATAAAATAAAATAAAGACTCATTGCAAAGATTCAGTCAACCCAGTGAGTTTTTTTTTTTCCCAGAGCACAACAGACCCACAGATTCTGAGTTTTCCTTCTGGGGGGCGGTTCCCACACTCAGACAGCACACAGCCCCCCGGAGGATCCAGAGAGACCCTTCTTTTCGGTTTGTCTCTTGGTTTGGTGCCAGGCCCCAAGGGAGTGATCCATGACTGGAGGAAGTTCAAGCTGGAGAGTGTGGATCACACCTGCACAGCCCCAGCCGGTAAGAGGGAGATGCTTCGACAAATGTCTTCGCCCCAGAGCAGCGAGATGCAGCCAGAACGAACGGGCAGGAAGGTAGGACCGGGAGGATGTTGATGCCTTTATGGTGTGATTGGACCCGAAAGGACTCTAATGGCTGGGATATTAAAATACAGGTGTACTGTGGCTGGGGTGAAAGCACAGCGGGGAGGGCATTGGCCTGGCATTTGCCTTGCACGCAGCCAATCCGGGTTCGATCCCCAGCATCCCATAGGGTCCCCTGAGCACCGTCAGGGGTAATTCCTGAGTGCAGAGCCAGGAGTAACCCCTGTGATTGCGGGTGTGACCCAAAAAGCAAAATAATAATAATAATAATAATAATAATAATGGGCTGGAGTGATAGCACAGCAGTAGGGCGTTTGCCTTACAAGCGGCCAACATGGCTGACCTGAGTTCGATTCCTCCGTCCCTCTCAGAGAGCCCGGCAAGCTACCGAGAGTATCTCGCCCGCACGGCAGAGCCTGGCAAGCTCCCCGTGACGGATTCGATATGCCAAACACAGTAACAACAAAGTCTCCAATGGAGACGTTACTGGGCCCGCTCGAGCAAATCGATGAACAACGGGAGGACCGTGACTGTGACCGTGAATAATAATAATAAAATAAAATACAGGTGTACTGTGGCTGGGGTGATAGCACAGCGGGAGGGCATTGGCCTGGCATTTGCCTTGCACGCAGTCAACCCGGGTTCGATCCCAGCATCCTATAGGGTCCCCCCAAGCACCACCAGGAATGATCCCTGAGTGCAGAGCCAGGAGGAACCCCTGTGAATTGCTGGGTGTGATGCAAAAAATAATAAGTAAATAAAATAAAATAAAATAAAAAGGAAGTGAGATAAGGCACCATCGCGGGGGGAGGGAGGGGCTGTTATTTATTTTTTTAATTCGATTTTTATTTTAATCATTTTTACGGAGGTGCCAGGATTTACAATACACTTGCGTATACATTTGATGAATCAGTGATTTCACCATCCCCATCACCAGAGAACCCACCTCCCGCCCGCCACCAGTGACCCCAGGACCCTTCCCAGCTATCTCAGTTCCACAGACAGAAGCTTTGGTTCTGATGGCTTTTGCCACTTGTTGTTCCCTTACTGTGTTTCTTTTATTTTTCCTTTTTTTTCTTTTTGGGTCCCACCCGGCGATGCTCAGGGCTGACTCCTGGCTCTGCACTCAGGAATCGCTCCTGGCGGTGCTCGGGGGACCCTAGGGGATGCCAGGGATTGAATCTGGGTCGGCCGCATGCCAGGCCAACGCCCTCCCCGCTGTGCTATCGCTCCAGCCCCTCTTTTCCTTTCTTTCCCCCCCACCTCTGGTAGAAATCTCTCTTATTTTTTCATTGTGACACCAACACACATAATTGAACTAAATGCCAATGTTAGTTTTCTCAAATGCCACAAAGTTATAAATCTATGATAAGTTGACGCCTCTTTTCCAAAAACGTCTTTTCTTTTTTTTGAAGGGACATAATTTTATTCACCGAATATCATAGTTCTGTGTCAATGTATTTTAAAACTTACATGAAATAGGTGAATCCTACCCATGTAGACTTTTAGTATGGGTGAAAAATTTAAGAAAACGTTCAGGAGAAAATGTTAATAAATCTATTAAAATGTAAATTTGTGTTTGGGGGCTGGAGCAATAGTATAGTGATAAGGCATTTGCCTTGCATGTGGCTGACCCACTTTTTTTTCCCTTTTTGGGTCACACCCAGCGATGCTCAGGGCTTACTCCTGGCTCTGCACTCAGGGATCACTCCTGGCGGTGCTCGGGGGACCCAATGGGATGCTGGGAATCGAATCCGGGTTGGCCGCGTGCAAGGCAAATGCCCTCCCTGCTGTGCTATGGCTCTAGCCCTGACCCACGTTTGATATCCAGCACTTTATAGGGTCCCTTGAGCTTCACCAGGCCTGATCCCTGAGCATATAGCCAGGAGTAAGCCCGAAATACTACTAGATGTGGCCCCCACAAAGGGTATATTTTATCCTAATAAAGGAAATATTGGCTTTCTATTAGTAACACTGCACTGTCCTCCCATTGTTCATCGATTTGCTCGAGCGGGCACCAGTAATGTCTCACAACAAACTGTGAGACTTTGTTGTTACTGAGTTTGGCATATCGAATACGTCACGGGGAGCTTGCCAGGCTTTGCCGCGTGGGCGAGATACTCTCGATAGCTTGCCGGGCTCTCCGAGAGGGGCGGAGGAATCGAACTCAGGTCAGCTGCGTGCAAGGCAAATGCCCTACCTGCTGGGCTATTGCTCCAGCCCTTCTATTAGTAAATATTATATTATAAATGGAACTTGATTTTTTTTAAGCTGTAGTAAGAAAAAAACTCCCTTGTTATGTGATGGGTATACACATAGGGACACAGTAAAAGAAAATTAATTTTGCTGAGCCTAAATATTGAACTGTCTTGTTCAGTTGGCTAAGCATCATGGAGGTAGCCTGATTCTAATCTCCTCTGGAAACAAAACAAAACAAAACAAAACTAATATTTGGCAAATAAGTCAACATATGCCATGATCGTTACTGTAGCACTGTAGCACTGTGCTCCTGTTGTTCATCGATTTGCTTGAGTGGGCACCAGTAACGTCTCCATTGTCAGATTGTTTTTGTTTTGTTCTTCTTTCTTTTTTTATTAGTGAAACACCATGAGGTACAGTTGTAGACTTACAAATTTTTGTGCTTGGGTTTCCGTTGTACGATGATCAAGTGCCCATCCCTCCACCAGTGCCCATTCTCCACCACCACTGATCCCAGTATCCCTCCCACCCCCCACCCTCCCATCCCACCCTGCCTCTGTGGCAGGGCATTCCCTTTTGTTCTCTCTCTCTCTCCTTTTTGGGTCCCACCTGGCGATGCTCAGGGGTGACTCCTGGTTTTGTACTCAGGAATCACTCCTGGCAGTGCTCAGGGGACCATATGGGATGCTGGGAATCGAACCCAGGTTGGCCGTGTTCAAGGCAAACACCCTACCCACTGTGCTATCACTCCAGCCCCATGTAACTGGTTTTGGTATATCAAATATGCCACGGGGAGCTTGCCAGGCTCTGCCGTGCAGGCGGGATACTCTCGGTAGCTTGCCGGGTTCTCCAAGAGGGATGGAGGAATCGAACCTGGGTCGTGTCAGTATAAGGAACCCAAGTCATGTCAGTATAAGGGATGGACAGCACAAGGCAGGAGCCTTCGGGTGGTCAGCCCCGAGGGTGGCTGGGGACAGAGGCCGTTCCGGGGGCAGCAGGAGGGAGCAGCCAAGGCCGTGCGTGATGAGTCACTGTGGTTCCTTCTCTGCCTCCCCAGATGAGCCTCCACGAGTACGAGCTCGTCCACCAGGAGGAGGAGGACGAGCGCTGCCTTCGACGGTACCGCCGGCGCTGCATGCTGGACATGCACCAGAGGCTGAGTTTCGGGCCGTGCCACGGGCTCCTGTACGAGCTGGAGAGCGGGGAGCATTTCCTGGAGACCCTCCAGCAGGAGCACAAGGTCACCCCGGTCCTGGTCCACGTGTACGAGGACGGCATCCAGGGCTGCGCCAGCCTCAATCACAGCCTGGAGCAGTTGGCCGCCGAGTACCCCACGGCCAAGTTCTGCAAGATCAGGGCCTCCGACTCGGGCGCTGGAGACCGCTTCCCCCCGCAGGTGCTGCCCACGCTGCTTGTCTACAGGGGCGGCGAGCTCATCGGCAATTTCACGAGTGTGGCCGAACAGTTTGCAGAAGAGTTTTTTGCTGGGGATGTGGAGTCTTTCCTCAACGAGTACGGGTTGCTTCCTGAGAGAGAGGTGTGTGCCCCAGAGCAGAGCGAATCGGAGGAGGACGCTGAATAGAGCGTTGTGTCCACTCTCTTGCACGTGGAACTGCCCTGTCCCTTTAGAGAAGTGTTCTTCACCCTCTAGCCCCTGTTCAACCCCCACCAGTTACCTGAACCCCCAGTACCATTGCTGGCATACCAGTGTAGAACTGTTGGACAACTGGTCTACCAGCTTGGTTCCATCTACTGGGCCCATAGGCAATATAGGTGTGGAAATGTTTGAAGATGTTTGAAGATCAGGGCTTTTGAGTAACTCAAGGATACCCAGAGTGATTAAATTTGGGGGGAAAAACACCAAAAAAAATTGTCAGCAAAATGATTCCTTTTCTTAGTATTATTCAATAGAGTTCTTCAGCACCAAACACCCTTTATCTCGTACAGACTTCAGCAATGTGCTAGCAGAAAGGATAGAATTTTCACCTCCCCACCCCCCACCCACGGCAGACAGAGAGAGGCCCCAGGAGCAGGTCTCGGAAACCCCTTCCAAGGTCTGCGTTAGCTTTTTGACTTTTTTTTTTTGGTTTCCCATAGTGTTATTCGTGCTCTTCAAATTCCAGGAATAATTATGATTTTGCTTGTGGAATCAGAATAAAGTGGCATGGGGAAACGGACTTGGATGTGAAGGCTCTGCTTTCTCAAGTAAGAGTGACTTGATCAAGGCCTAAAAAGAGAATGGAACCACCCCCCAATTCGCCAAAGGGTAGATTTTTCTGTCTCTATCTTTAGGTGAGACATCTTATATTTCTTTTTTTTCTTTCTTTCTGGGTCACACCTGGCGATGCTCAGGGGTTACTCCTGGCTCAAGCACTCAGGAATTACTCCTGGCGGTACTCAGAGGACCATATGGGATGCTGGGAACCGAACCTGGGTCAGCCATGTTGGCTGCGTGCTAGGCAGACGCCCTACCTGCTGTGCTATCGCTCCAGCCCCGTGACATCTTAGATTTCATCTCCACTCATGCATACATTAAATTTACAAATCTTGGGGCTGGAGTGATAGTACTTTTTGGGGCATTTTCCTTGCAGGTGGCTGACCCGGGTTCGATTCCCAGCATCCCATAGGGTCCCCCAAGCTCTGCCAGGAGTAATTCCTAAGTGCCTGAACCAGGAGTAACTCCTGAGCATCACTGGGTGTGACCCAAAAAGCAAAAAAAAAAAAAAAAAGAAGAAAGAGAAAGAAAAGAAATTTACAAATAATGGGCACATTCCAATTGTTTAAAAAAAAGTGTTAAAAATACCATTTCAGGAGCAAACCGCATCTAGGAAACCTGGTCAGTGAAAAAGCAAGGTCTTCTTGAACTCCAGACAGCAAAGCAATGAGTAGTACCAGGAGCAGCATCTGGGGTTGGCCCTTCTGGACCCTGTAGCTCACTCTTCGATCACTCTGCTAACTTTTAGCCACCCTGGCAAGTGAAGACTCTGAGGTCATAAAGGACGTAGAATTCAGAGCAGCCAAGTTCTACTTTGAAACTCTCCTCTGACACAAGCACATGGTAACGCAAAATTAAATGTAAAAAAATAAGTTGGGGGTGGGGGGTGGAAGGATAGTTAGGATGGAGAAGGGACCAGTATGACAATCATTGGAAATGATCACTCTGGACAAGAACTGAGTGTTGAAAGTAGGTAAAGGAATATTTATGATAAGCATTCAATATCTGTACTGCAGAGAGAGAGAGAGAGAGAAAGAGAGAGAAAGAGTCTGCCATAGAAGTGGAGGGACAGATTGGGTGCTGGAATATTATATGACTGAGACTCATGAACAATGTAACTGTGTATCTCACTGTGATACAAGTTTTAACAAAAAAATTTGCTTTTAATAAGAGAAAAGGAAACTTTAATGACATGGAGTAATGAGACCTTTGATCTGCCTCCTCCAGTGAGGTGATACAGTTTTTCAAAGGGGTGGGTGGTGATACATTTGGGAGGCAAAAACCCAGCAAAGAGTTTTGCGAATTAAAAGGAGGAATTGGGGCGGGGAGAGGGGGCTGGTATGATAACCAAGCTGATAAAGCATATGCCAAACATGTTTCAGACCCTAAATACAATTCCCAGCCCCAAATGACCACAACCCTGGACCCAAGTCTCAAAGGTCAGACCCACATTGCTAGACATGGCCCCTGTATAAGAACAAAAATCATGATTCAGCAGATGAAAAGGAATTTAGCAGAATTAGGTACATCACTACAAAAGTAGACCTTGTAGGGCCAGAGTGATAGATAGTACAGAAGGGAGGGCATTTAGCTTGCATGTGACCGACCCGGGTTCGATCCCCGGCATCCCATAGGGTCCCCTGAGCAGTGCCTATTGGAGAGCCAGGAGTAACCCCTGAGCATTGTGGAGTGTGAACAAGAGTTTTTTTTTAATTATTATTTTGGGGCTGGAGCAATAGCACAGCAGGGAGGGCATTTGCCTGGCACACAGCTGACCCGGGTTCAATCCCTGGCATCCCATAGGATCCCCTGAGCACTGCTGATTGGAGAGCCAGGAGTAACCCCTGAGCATCGTGGAGTGTGAACAAGAGTTTTTTTTAATTATTATTTTGGGGCTGGAGCATCAGCACAGCAGGGAGGGCATTTGCCTTGCACGCAGCCCACCCGGGTTTGATTCCCAGCATCCCCTAGGGTCTCCCGAGCACTGCCAGGAGTGATTCCTGAGTGCATGAGCCAGGAGTCAGCCCTGAGCATCTCCGGGTGGGACCCAAAAAGAAAAACAAAATTTGTGATTTGATCTTCTGTGGATTTGGAGGGATGGGGCGCTCCCAAGGCTGCCTCAGTGGGCCTGGGTGATCCCAGAGATACTCAGTAAACTGGGAGTGTTCGGGACGGTGCCTGCCAAATGAGCCCATTGCTCTTACAACAGTTGCATTCGTGCCCTTGGTGCTGGTGCACGAACTTAAAATAGCACCAGCAAGCCAGTACAGGACCAGACCCGGGAAGGTCTTTAACCCGTAACTGCCAAAACAAAAGTAACTAGGTGGCACCCGTGTGATGACATAGGTCCTCTCCCATGGGCCGGGTGACTCACGGGGGCCAGGTCAGGAAGAACCAGACAAAAGACTGGTTTTAACTAGAGCCCTGGCGGCCACCTCTTCAGAAATCCTGGATTACAGCTCACCCCCGGGTAGCGGCGGGCCTCTCGCCTGGCCCCGGGGAGAGGAAGCACACCCTTCATTCACTCTCTGCCAAAGAATGAAGTTTCCTCCTTTCACTCTCCGCCAAAGAATCAAGTTTTCAAAAGTCGAGATCGAGGATGTCATGACATGTCAGTCAGCCACCTGGACCCTAAGTGATATGGATTGGGGGGGCCAAGCCGGGGTTGTTCGTGGTCCCAGAGGAGGGCTAGTCTGTCCTGTGAAGTTCCCTTCATTCATTTCTTCACACAGTAATGATGGAGTCATGTAGGGTCCTGGGTGGGCTTCAGGGGGAAGAGAAGAGAAATTTAACCAAGCAATGGGACGCCCTTGGTGGTCTATGGGTTATGGTGACCCCGATGTGAGCTCTGGGGTCTGAATCCCACAGCTAAATGTGCTTGGTAGGGGCTGGAGCGATAGTACAGCAGGGAGGGCATTTGCCTTGCCGCGGCCGACGCGGGTTCGATTCCCAGCATCCCATAGGGTCCTCCTATGGGTCACAATCAAACATTGTGAACTAACTTATAAAATTAAAAATTCTGAAAAAAAAAACAAACAAGTAATGTGGAGTTCATGCCCAATTCAATCAGCTTAATCAATGGCTGAATAAATAGCAGTGCCCCTACATTATATATATTAAAAAAAAATACACACACTCACGCACTAACCCATATCCACATACTCACACTCTCTTAGATAGACACAAACACACATTCTTATGCACATATACATGTACATCTATACACATACACACATACATCTACAAGGGCACACACGTACACACACACACACACACACACACGCAGGCTTCTTCGTTCCAGATCTGTCCAACCTGGTGGGCAGCAGTGTAGAGTTTGAAGATATTGTGTAGCTGTGAACGCAACTGCCCACTCTAGAAAGTCTGGCCGGATCTTTTATTTATTTATTTATTTATTTATTTATTTATTTATTTTGCCTTTTGGGTCCCACCTGGCGATGCTCAGGGCTGACTCCTGGCTCTGCACTCAGGAATCACTCCTGGCGGTGCTCGGGGGACCCTGTGGGATGCCGAGGATCGAACCCGGGTCAGCCGCATGCAAGGCAAACGCCCTCCCCGCTGTGCTATCGCTCCAGCTCCAATGTTTGCTTTCTTGAACTCATTTTTTTTTAAAAGCCTTGTTCTTGTTCAGCTATAGACCCACAATCCAACGGCTTCTTGGCGTTCCGCACTTAACCCTTGCTTCAGTCTCCAGCCATAGCTGCCACCAAATCAGATTTGACAGAAATAGAATTCAAAAGCCGATTAGCTCCAATCCCTCTCTCCAATGTCTCCTTCACAGTCCTGTAAATGGGAACTCTCCTGTTGTAAAATTACAGGGCAGGAGAATTTTTCTGGAGCCCTGTTTCCAGGAAGGATTTTTGTACTGAGTGTCAGAATTTCAAATCACAAGATAGAGTATAAAATCTAGCTTCGTTGGGTGGGGGCCCTATGAAATATTTCTACAAAGATTTCACAACAGGGACTGGAGCGATAGCACAGCGGAGAGGGCGTTTGACTTGCACGCAGCCAACCCAGGTTCGATTCCCAGCATCCCATAGCGTCCCCCAAGCACCGCCAGGAGTGACTCCTGAGTGCTGAGCCAGGAGTCAGCCCTGAGCATTGCTGGGTGGGACCCAAAAAGGAAAAAAAAAAAAGATTTTACAACAAATGAGGTTTCTGATGATCAAAACGGATAATGCTTACTCAAACATTCATTCATCCTGTGTCCCTGAGTACAATGAACAACAGTCAATTTTAGTTGTTTCCATCAAATTTGAATCTCTTCTGGGGCTGGAGAGATAATACAGTGAGTAGGTGTTTGTTCTGCAAATGGCCAATCTGGGTAAGATTTCTGGCATCCCCTGGGGTAAATTCTGAGTGCAGAACCAAGAGTATCCCCCGAGCATCACCAAAAGTGGCTCCCAAATTAAAAAAAAAAAGTAACAAACACATTTGGATCCATTCAACAAATCTCCTCCCTGGTTACAACACCAAAGTGTGAATAAAGCATCTCAGAACAGTTATTCTAACCACCCTCCAGACTTCCAGACCGTCTGAATGACAGCCTACTTTGAAAGCCCACGCGAACTGGCACAAAATATGCGTGAGGGTGTGTATACCATCTCGCTTCTTAGAAAACGTAGACCTGAGTTTTACATAAAACACTCCTGATTCGGGGCTGGAGCGATAGCACAGCGGGGAGGGCGTTTGCCTTGCACGAGACCAACCCGGGTTCGATTCCCAGCATCCCATAGGGTCCCCGAGCAATGCCAGGAGAAATTCCTGAGTGCAGAGCCAGGAGGAACCCCTGAGCATCAAAACACAAAACCACTTTTGATTTGCAACTGATCACGTGATTTGCTCACAAGCTTTTGCATTTTGAATGATTTCGAATCACCTTTAAAATTATTTGCCCTCTGCAAGATTATCCACTGAAGGTCTGAGGCCCCGAGAAATGGATTCATCTGCACACAATTCACCTCCATCAGGCTTGTGAGGAAGATCTTAATCCAGCACCTTCCCGGTACCCCAAGGTCCTGGGGGCCTTCTGAGTGTCCCACTATCTCCCCTTCACTGGAGTGTTTGGCATCTCAGAGCGATACAATACTGGGTTTATAAATGCTGATAATGTCACATCTCCACAGCCACACCCAGACGTGAGTATATCTGCCCCTGAATTTATGCATATTTTTGCATAAATGGAAACTGCTGGTTTCAAATATTGACTTTTTTTTTTTTTTTTTTTTTGCTTTTTGGGTCCCACCCGGCGAAGCTCAGGGCTGACTCCTGGCTCTGCACTCAGGAAATCACTCCTAGCGGGGCTCGGGGGACCCTATGGGATGCCGGGGCCCTACCCACTGTACTATCGCTCCAGTCTTTCTTCTTTCTATTCTTTCTTTCTTTCTTTGTCCCACCCAGCGATGCTCAGGGCTGACTCCTGGCTCGGCACTCAGGAAATCACTCCTAGCGGGGCTTGGGGGACCTTATGGGATGCCGGGGATCGAACCCGGGTCGGCCGTGTGCCAGGCCAACGCCCTCCCTGCTGAATTATCACTCCAGCCCCAATTTCTCCAATTTCATCTCTTCTGCTGAGTCTAATGTGATATTCAGCATGACCAAATCAATCTTTTGGATTTTTTGGTTTTATTTCAAGCTAAGTGTGTTTCATTTCTAGCTGTTCTATTGTGACAGGCCTGGAGGGCTGGAACCCGAGACTCTTGTTCTTCTGGGTTCTCCCTCATGCTTCTAGGGACTTTCAACTTGTGCCCGATAATTTCTAGTCACAAAATTCACTGAATCTTAAATCACAAAACCTGCGAGATTGAATTCGCTAAACTCCAGGGTGTTAATTATAATGTAAGGGAAGTGTCCTGGCTAAGGGGACCTTTCAGGCTGATGCCCTGGGCCCAAGGCCAAGTGCTCCTGGGAACGCTAGTGACCACCTGGACGGGCACTCACTGTCCGGCCATGCGCCTGATAATGTTATCGATGTACAGGGTGACGAGACATGGCATGACAGCACGGAGATCCCCAACTCTTATTTGTATTTTTGGGGCACCCCTGGCAATGCTCAGGGCATACTCCCGGTGGGCTTGGGGGACAATGTGGGGTACAAGGGATCCACTGGCTTGGCGCCGTGCCAGGCAAGTGCCCTACCCGGCAGAGGTGCAGACCATCTCTCTGGCCCCGGTCTCTGCCTCTCGGTTCATTTTTGTGCAGAAGGTGGTTCTTGAAGGCTTTCTCCCACTTTCTTTAAAGGTAAAAGAGATTCAAGATCTTATTCGAAGCTTGAATCGGAACTGAGCTGGTTTGCCAGCAGGGTGTCTTGTGGACTGTATCCCCTCATTAGACCGGCCCGAGATCCCAGGCTGGGTCACTCCTTCAGGATTCCACCCCCTCCTCACTCATCGGAGTCCCAATGCTCATTAACCCGACACAGGATCTGGGGTCTCCACACCCCCGGACTGGGGTCACCCCACTTGGCAGCCAATTTATTTTTTTTTCTTTTTGGGTCCCACCTGGTGATGCTCAGGGCTGACTCCTGGCTCTGCACTCAGGAATCACTCCTTGGTGGTGCTTGGGGGACTCTAGGGGATGCCGGGGATCGAACCTGGGTCAGTTGTGTGCAAGGCAAATGCCCTCCCTGCTGTGCTATCACTCTGGCCCCTTGAGAACAATATTTTTTTTTTTTGAGAATAATTTTTAAGCACTAGTAAAATCCAGGCCAACACCCTACCTGCTGGACTATCGATCCAGCTCCTATCTCTTTCTTTTCTCTCTTTTCTTCCTTCTCTTCCTTTCTTTCTTTCTTTCTCTTTCCCTCTCTCTCTCTCTCTCTGTCTGTCTGTCACACCTGGAGATGCTCAGGGCTGACTCCTGGCTCTGCACTCAGCAATCACTCCTGGCGATGCTCAGGGGACCCTAGGGGATGCCGGGGATCGAACCCGGGTCGACTACATGCAAGGGAAACACCCTCCCCACTGTACTGTCGCTCCGGCCCTGCAATTTCTCCTTCGTTCTGTGACTAAGACAGACAGACAGACAGACAACCTTGGCTGAACAGTCACAAACCGACCAATATATGATCCAGACCAATACAACAAAAATCTCCAGCCAGTTTAAAAAACAAAAAACAAACACACAAAAACGAAAAACAATGAACAAGGAAAAATGGTTTGTTCTGATCGATTCCACGCAGATGCTCGACTTTATTTCTGCAAGCCTGTGGGGTTTTGTGCAGCCCGACCCCGGAGAGCTGGTGTTTCCTCCTGAGCCCCCAGCACCCGGCCAGGAGGTGGGTGGCGTGGGCTGCTCTGCCACAGGCGAGGGTCCCTCGGGGGGTGGGGGGGGAAGCTCCGGGCCTTCGTCCTAATCGCTGAAGTAATGGAAGGAGACGCCAGCGGCCACGGCTGCCACGGCCAGGGCCGCGATCATTCCTGTAGGGACAGAGGGAAGGCGGTAGAGGGAAGGCGAGGCCTGCCTGCTGTGTGTCCCGGGCACAACCAGGACAGTGGGCACCAGGCGAGGCCCAGGGGCCAAGACACTGGGTGTAGGGGCTGCAGGAATAGATGCCGATGGCCCCATTGAAGCTGCGTGGCTTCTCCGGGCCAGCCCCGATGGGTGTGTGTCTCCGTGCTGGCAAGGCGGGCCTGGGTGCACGGGAGCCGCAGGGACTCAGACCCGACCGTCCGGGAATCTGTCTTGTTCCCACCCAGCCTGGCGCTTTTATCTGATCCTGGGGGATTCTTGTGAATTCAGAACAGAACTGACGGGGAGAGACCACACCGGGGGCTTCCCGGCCCCGGCCAGCCCCGCCCTGCTTCTGGCCTTTTCTCCGGGGGTCTAGAAGGCGCGTCAGCTTCTTCCAGAAGAGCTGTTTCGGGAATGTGAGGTCAGGAAGCACTAGTGTGACTCTTATCGTTCAGTTTTTCAGTTTTTGGGTCCCACCCGGCGATGCTCAGGGCTGACTCCCGGCTCTGCACTCAGGAATCACTCCTGGCAGGGCTTGGGGACCCTCTGGGATGCCGGGGATCGAACCCGGGTTGGCCGTGTGCAAGGCCAACGCCCTCCCCACTGTGCTATCACTCCAGGCCCTATGGATGGACCAGATATTGATCAAGGTGCTGAACTGTGTAATGGACCAGATATTATTATTATTATCATTATTATTGGGCTGGAGCGATAGCACAGTGGGTAAGGCATTTGCCTTGCAAGCGGCCAATATGGCCGACCCAAGTTCGATTCCTCCGCCCCTCTCGGAGAGCCCGGCAAGCTACCAAGAGTATCTCACCCGCACGGCAAAGCCTGGCAAGCTCCCCGTGACGTATTCGATATGCCAAACACAGTAACAGCAAGTCTCACGATGGAGATGTTACTGGGCCCGCTCTAGCAAATCGATGAACAACGGGAGGACTGTGACCTGTGACCATGGTTATTATTATTGTTATTTTGCTTCTTGGGTCCCACCCGGTGATGCTCAGGGCTGACTCTGGGCTCTGCACTCAGGAATCACTCCTGGCGGTACTTGGGGGACCCTATGGGACGCCGGGGATCGAACCCAGGTCAGCTGTGTGCCAGGCCAACGCCCTCCTCACTGTACTATCGCCCCAGCCCCTGACTCTTATTTTTAAAACCACCTCAACACGTTTTCCTTCTAAAACAGCGACAAAACTAACAGGAAGTGTGGACTGTGAGGGCGCTTGGGATAACTGTGACCTAAAATCCTTCACAGACCTGGACTTTTATACCATTGTCAGTAAATACTGGCTGAATCTAACTTTTCTTTTCCCTTCTTGGGGGGCCCTGGGGAGACTCGGGGGCCGCTCCTGGTGTTACGGGGCCGACCAGAAGTTAGCCCGACACTTGTACGGAAGTGAAGTGATGTTAAAGACGGCAGGAAAGCCCAAGTCCCGGGCATCACCCTTGCGATGCTCTCGAGGAAACCGAGTACCTAGGTTCTGCTGGATCTTCAGTACGATGGTGGTGTCGCTGGGCTGTGCTGACTGCTGGACACTCAGGCTGTCTGGAGGTGCTTCAGGATTTGTGGCGGAACTCACGAGACACACTGTTAAGAGGGAAACAACAAATCCAGAAGGAAAGAATACCGCTGAAATACGCACTTGGAAACGACACACACACACGAACTCCCACTTTTTCTCCTCCTGCCTTTCGACACCCACAAACTGCCCCCCGGCGCCATGTAATCTCATCGATGCCCAATCTTATCTCTGTCTCTCTTGGAGAGCCCGGCGAGCTACCCAGAGTATCCCGCCCGTACGGCAGAGCCTGGCCAGCTCCCCGTGACGCATTTGATATGCCAAAAATAGTAACAATAACGGGTCTTGGGGCTGGAACAATAATAGTGCAGCGGGTAGGGTGTTTGCCTTGCACGTGGCCGACCCGGGTTCGATCCCCGGCATCCCATATGGTCCCCGAGCACCGCCAAGAGTGATTCCTGAGTGCAAAGCCAGGAGTAACCCCTGAGCATCGCCGGGTGTGGCCCAAAAAAAAAGCAAAAAAAAAAAAAAAAAACCCCAATAACGGGTCTTATTCCCTGACCCCGAAAGAGCCTCCAATACGCCATTGGGCAACACTATCACGCAACAGGGACAGATGGAGACGTTACTGACGCCTGCTCGAGCAAATCGGCGCACAACAGGACGACAAGTGACAATGTAGGAGTACTCTGCTATTTGTTCAGCCGTTGAGGAAGGTGACTGAATTGGGCACGAACTCATTAGTTTTTTTTCTTTTTTAACTGCATCACCGTGAGACAGAGTTACAAAGCTTTCACGTTTGAGATTCAGCCGCACAACGATGGAACGCCCATCCCTCCACCAGTGCACATTCCCCGCCACCCACATCCCAGTCCTCACCCTGCCTCCAGGGCAGACAATCTCCCCAATATTCTCTCTCTCATTTTGGGCATTATGGTTTGGTCGAAATTTCCCGCCGCCATTCAAGCCTGCCTGCCAGGGGCAGACGCAAGATCATTGATTTTCCGTTGCTCATTTTCTTGTTTTGCTTTTTGGGTCCCACCCGCGATGCTCAGGGCTGACTCCTGGCTCTGCACTCAGGAATGACTCGTGGCGGTGCTCAGGGGACCCTGTGGGATGCCGGGAATCTGAACCCAGGCTGGCCGCGTGCCAGGCAAACGCCCCACTCGCTGTGCGATTGCTCCAGCCCCCCACCGCTCATTTTGAAGACCACGAGAGCTCGCGCGGCCGAGATGATCAACGTCAATTTCTAGTCTGTCAATGGCTTCCAGGGACAACTCCGTATGGCACGAATCCATTTTGGGATTCAACTGGGAGTCTCGGGCCAGGGATATAGATGGTGCGCAGAGGCAAATTGTGGGCGTGACAGCCAGTCTTCTGGGCGGGCGGGGACCTGGGGAGGGACGGCCCAGGTCCTCTGCCACCGTGCGGCCTGGAGATTTAGTCTGGAACCTGCATACCTGGGCCTTGCTTGTGGAAGCTCTTGGTCACTGCAATTCCAGCTGGAGCAGGTGAGGAGACTGCATCTGCTCCATCTGGAGTGCCCAGGTGAAATCAGCTCGATAAGGGGCCCGGAGAGCTCTCCACCCACCTGCCTTTTTATAACACACTGAGCCGCCAAACGAAACGGAGGTGGGTTCCGTGCCGGGGACTGGATTATAAACGGACACACAGTGGCTGTGTCTGTCACGTGGTGCCTTTGACGCCGACTCGCTACAGGGGACGGTCACTCTCCTGAGGTTGGTCAGCGCCTCTTTGCCAAACAATCCGCATCAGTCAAGATGCTCCCTTGCTGCACGGTGCCTTCCTTGAGTTTATGTATTTGGGTTTGGGAGCCAGAGCTGATGGGGCCCAGGGCTTAGTCCTGGCAGGCTCCCTCCGGCCCAGGTTGGGAGGTTGAAGAATTCTTCCCAGAACACTGATCTGAACCCAGGGGGGAGAGAGAGCTTTCGTGCTGGCGTTTCTCTGTCGGAATCGAGGGCCTGGAGGCTTGAATCACTCTCAAGACCCAGGTCGTGTCACCAGCACTTTGCCAGTACCTGAACTTTATTTTATTATTTTTGCTTTTTGGGTCACAACCAGCGATGCTCAGGGCTGACTCCCGGCTCTGCACTCAGGAATCACTCCTGGCGGTACTCGGGGGACCCTAGGGGATGCCGGGGATCGAACCCGGGTTGGCCATGTGCAAGGCCAACGCCCTCCCCACTGTGCTATTGCTCCAGCCCCTATGGATGGATCAGATATTGATCAAGGTGCTGAACTGGGTGATGGACCAGATATTATTATTATTATTATTTTGCTTCTTGGGTCCCACCCGACGATGCTCAGGGCTGACTCCTGGCTCTGCACTCTGGGATCACTCCCGGCGGTGCTTGGGGGACCCTATGGGATGCCGGGGATCGAACCCGGGTCGGCCGTGTGCCAGGCCAACACCCTCCCCACTGGGCTATCGCTCCGGCACCAACCCTGCACTTTTATGAGCAAACCAAACTCCACAATAATCAGGAGAAACCTGACTTCTGGAGCCAATGAGGTCCGAGCGGGGGCTGAGGGTGGAGGCCCCAGCTGGGGTGCGTCTCTGAGGACGCTGGCCTGCCCTTAACTCTCCCTCCCACCCCGACGTTCTAACTTCAGGAGGCTTCATGGGAGTCAGAGGTGTAGCCGTTAACAATCTGGGTCACTCCCCCACCCCCCAATCTCCCTTCCCAGTAATAACATCGTCCCTGTCAGCCAGTCAGGGGCAGCAGCTCAGCCCGAGAGCCAAGGCCCCCTTGGAAAAGATGAAGATGGCAGGCAGAGGAGAGGCCCCGGGGCCCAAGCGGACACTGTAAGACACGCATCTGAACGGTGGTGGATATCTACGACCGGGTGACTCACGCCCGAAAGGCACAGTTATTCCTCACCTTGAGTGAGTCACTTGGACAAATTATTCTTTATCCCTAAGACATTTCAAGTGATGTTATTTTAAGATAATCATGCAGCAAAATGTGTATTTTAAACATAGCAACTACTTGGCAAGCTGTCTCGCACGATGGAGTAATGAAGCCAGATTTCATTTCACCAGGAAAGAAGAAGAGGAGCCAGGTTTGGGCTCAATAACGCCGACTTGTGTAGGAATTGCTTTCCAATCTGAATTAACCTAACGCCGTCTGGGCAGAAACTCTTCATTTTGAATATTTTTAAAAAGTGTTGATGGACCCTAGGGGCGGGAGTGATAGCACAGCGGGGAGGGTGTTTGCCTGGCATGCGGCCAAACTGGGTTCGATTCCCAGCATCCCATAGGGTCCCCCGAGCACCGCCAGGAGTGATTCCTGAGTGCAGAGCCAGGAGTCAGCTCTGAGCATCACCAGGTGTGACTCAAAAAGCAAAAAAAAAGGTGGCTGGAGCCATAGCACAGCGAGGAGGGCATTTGCCTTGCACCCAGCCAACATGGCTGACCCAGGTTTGATTCCCAGCATCCCATATGGTCCCCCGAGCACCACCAGGAGTAATTCCTGAGTGCATGAGCCTGGAGTAACCCCTGAGCATCGCCGGGTGTGACCCAAAAAGCAAAAAAAAAAACAAAAAAAAAGTATTGATGGGTTCTCAAAGAATACCTTTACGCTTTAATATTAATTCAGGAGTTAATGATTTGCAAGTTTTACAATGCCAGTTACTTTCATTCTGCGTTTCCTCTCTCTGTGTAGAAAGTATTTCCCCTAAACATTTAAAAGAAATAAAAAATTCTTGCCCATTGAAAAAGAAAAGGGAAATGGCACAGAGATGTTTGCAAAGTGTTTAAAAAATAAAACAAATAACTTTGTGACCTGATACTTAATCCAATAACGGAAAGAATGGGTTCTGAGATAACTCATGATAAAAGACACACCTCAAGGCTATATAGATCTGTATCAAATTAAGGCTGCATTTGTTTTGGGGAAAGCTACTGAGTTTGGAAAAAATCTAAAGTATTTTCAATTTTGGTCTAGTTGTTTTAGGGGAAAAAAAACCCAACTGCGTGTGTAAGTGACTTAGAAACTAAATATGCATCAATCAAATTTAAAAAAAAATGAGATTCAAAATAATAGAAAAGATGCATGTTTGCAACTAGCTAAAGGACAAACTGCATTGCCCGCATTGTTATATAAAATTTGGTTTTACTGTCATTAAGAAAAAAAAAACTAAACAGAGGCGTGGGGGCAGCTCGAGCCCGGGAACTCTCCCTGCAGGAGGCCTAGGCTGGCCACAGCAACTCAGGGCCACCCCTCCCTCTGCTGGGAGTGGCCTCAGCAGGCCAGCCGTGCCCTCTGACCCCACAGGAGGAAAGAAAGTGAAAGGGGTCAGACCCAGCCAAGGTACTCTGGTTAACATTCTGTGTGTGTGTGTGTGTGTGTGTGTTTCCTTTCTTTATGGGTCCCACCCGGAGATGCTCAGGGCTGACTCCTGGCTCTGCACTCAGGAATCACTCCTGGCGGTGCTTGGGGGACCCTAGGGGATGCCGGGGATTGAACCCGGGTTAGCCGTGTGCAAGGCCAGTGCCCTCCACACTGGACTGTTGCCCCAGCCCCTTGGTTAGCATTCTGCAGCATCAAATGGATCAAGCTTCAAAGAACCCTCGAGACAGGCCGTCCGGCTGTCAGCCCCGTCAGGATGCGGGTGACCTTAGGGGCGGGCTGACTTAACTCCACGCCGTTACCTGGGCTGACCTCCTCGGCAACTTCCAGGTCTTCCGCTGGGAAACTGTGATCCAACATATCTGCGAAATGATCTCTGATCTCTTCAGCAGAGTCGTCGGCAAACTTGTAGTCACACAGCATCACCGTGGAGCCGGGGATGGGGACGAACACCCGGAGAGGGAGCACGTGGGTCTCCTTCTGGGGGCCTGCAGGGGAGAGGCAGTCGGGTTCAAGTCAGCCAGCACTGGGGGGGGGGGGGGCAGGGGGGCCCGCGGACGCCTCCTGCACACTGGTGGACCGCCTGTGCACTGTTGGGTGTACTGCTGGTGTCTGCCGAATGTACTGGCTGTGTACTGCCAGGTGTACTACCAGGTCCACTACCGGGTGTACTGCCAGGTGTACTATCACTGTACTGCTGGGTGTATTGCTGGTGTACTGCCTGTGTACTGCCAGGTGTACTGTCAGGTGTACTGTTCTGTACTGCCAGGTGTATTGCCAGTGTACTGCTGGGTGTACTGTCAGGTGTACTGCCTGTGTACTGCTGGGTGTACTGTTCTGTACTGTCGGGTGTATTGCTGGTGTACTGCCTCTGTATTGCTGGGTATACTGTCGGGTGTACTGCCTATGTATAGTTGGGGGTACTGTCAGGTGTACTGTTCTGTACTGCTGAGTGTATTGCTGGTGTACTGCCTGTGTACTGTCGGGTGTACTGTTCTGTACTGCCAGGTGTACTGCTTGTGTACTGCTGGGTGTACTGCCTGTGTATTGTTGGTTGTACTGCCGGGTGTACTATCGGGTGTACTGCCTGTGTACTGTCGGGTACACTGTTCTGTACTGCCGGGTGTATTGCTGGGTGTACTGCCTGTGTATTGCTGGGTCTGCCTGTGTACTGTCGGGTGTACGGCCGGGTATACAGCAGTAGCCGTGGGTTTGGGCCTATGGAAATGAAACTGCAACCAAGCCAGGTCGGTCTCACTGGGTCCTGTTCTACACCTGGCTCTGTGTGGGCCCACGGGCCTCTCTGGCTTCCTGGAATGGCCAGGGGAGGGACACTCCTGCCTCGAGAGTTCCTGTCTGTCTCCGTGGCTCTGCCCTGTGTGAAGACTGCATCTCAGCAAGATCTCCCCCTCAGGCAAGCCAGTCACTGCACTGAGCTTGGAGACCCACGGCTCTTACCCAGCTCCCTGCCCGCTGGGAGTCGCCCCTCAGCCGTACCCTAGCCTCTGACTGGCTCCCTCGGGCCCCCACTTCCCTGTCTGCATTGGGATCTGCTCTTGATCTCACCATGCCTGTCCTTAAACAGCATTACATGGGGGCTGGAATGATAGCACAGTGGGGAGGGTGTTTGCCTTGCACACAGCTGACTGGGGTTCGATCCCCGGCATCCCCTATGGTCTCCCGAGCACCGGCAGGAGTAATCCCTGACTGCAGAGCCAGGAGGGACCCCTGTGCATCGCTGGGTGTGATCCAAAAAGCAAAAAAAAAAAAAAAAAAAAAAAGCATTATATCAGTTTTTAAAACACTGAACTAGATTTTACTAAGGAGTAAACTATGTTTGGGGCGGGGGGTGGGGGGTACTCACCAAGTAAAATCTATCCCTCCCAATTTCTAGCCTGGTTCTCGTCTGCCTAAATGTATGTGATTACCGTCACGTTCAACACCTGACCACACCCCCGGGACTGTGCAGGTCCTTCAGGGGACCCGGGGCTCACCCTAATCTCCGTTTCCTGATCTAGCTACAAACAGAAGTCGGGAAGGAGCATCTCCGGGGCCCAAGTGGGGAATCGCCCACTTGAATCAGTGTGCGTCTGCCAGGCGGCCCGGGAGCTTGTCTTTCTTGTTTTTTCTAAGGGCTCTGGAGTGGAACCAGTTTCATTCCTTTTGCCCAGACTGGCTCCTGGTGGTGAAACAGAGTCTCTACAATCATGGCTCCGAGGACGGGAGCAGATGGGGTTCCTTTTCTCACTGTCTCTGTCCCCGCCGGTCAAACAAGGACAGACTCACCGTGCCCTAAATATTGAGCCCGAAAAGAGCCAACGAGGCCAGAGACAGAGGCGCTAAACTTTACCCTCCAGAAACATCTGGTTAGAACAATGACCAGTTCAGGACCGACCCCAAGTTCAACCTATTCAAGTATTTTTTTTTTTATCAATAGGTACTGCAATATAAATAATAAGTCATGTGATTCTAAATAACATCTTGGAAAAACTCATTCGCTATTCATTTAAAATGTGTTTACCTTTTTTTGGCAGAAGCAAAAAAAAGAAATCCTTTCAAAATCCTTATTCCAGAATTTTGGGGGGGGGGGTGCTTTTGGATCACAAAAAGGGGTTCCTCTTGGCTCAGCACTCAGGATCACTCCTGGCAGTGCTCAGGGAACCCTATGGGATGCCGGGGATCGAACCCAGGTCGGCCACGTGCCAGGCCAATGCCCTCCGTGCTGTACTGTCTCTCAGACCCTGATCTATCTCATTTATTTTTTGGAGGGAGCAAGAATTACTCAGGGCTGACTCCTGGCTCTGCACTCAGGAATCACTCCTGGCAGTGCTCAGGGGACCTTTATGGGATGCCAGGGATCGAACCTGGGTCGGCCGCGTGCAGGGCAAATACCCTCCCCACTGGGCTATCCTCCGGCCCCCTTCCAGAATTATCAAAGATCCGGATTGCTACGAAGGCGTTACTTTAGGGGCTGATGACTGAGGATTTCTCATTGATAAAGATGGTCAGAGGCGAGAGCAGTTAGAGGTCACATGGCTGTTACCACTGTGACCGACTGGGGCCTCCTCTATGCTGAGCACCTGGCCCCTGGGCGACCCCCCACCCCCCACCCAGCCATTCCCGAGACTGCCAGCAAGCCGTGTGCAAGAACAGAGAGTCAAGAACATACTCTTGGCTTTCCCCTCGGGGCTCTCGTTCAGAAGCAACTCCTCGAACAGGAGGTCGCAGCGGTCGGCCAGCGTGTTCAGGATGTCCCGTTTCACGGCCTATGGCGACAAACGGTCACTGCCAGAGGCTTCCGAGCCGAGCCAGGCGGGCCTCTGGGGAGAACCGGCCCTCCCCCCCACGGTACCTGTAGGGCGTCCTTGACCTTGGGCCTGTTGCCATGGAGATAGGCCCGGCACTTGACGGCGCCCCTGAGGTTCACGGAGCCGCTGCAGACCTGGACGGTGGCCGTGGATCTGTGGTCCGGGCTCAGGAGCTGAGAGACAAGACCCCATCGATGAAGGCTCCGGCGGCCTTGAGCCAAGGACGGCACGGAAGCTCCCGGAATGTCTGGAACCTGCGTGTCACCTGGACACGGCTGAAGCCAGGCTGAGCATTCTGAGACCTCCCCCCCGCCCCGCTGTGACCTGTCACTGTGTCAAACAGTTCCGGCAAATCAGGGCGATTTGCAGAGAACTCGGATCAGCACCCCCTCCAACTTTCCAGAGATGCCCCAGAATGATTTAACCTTTAGGGTAACTATCACACATATACACACACCTGAACCCGTTTGGATTCCCCTAAGTCTCCCATCGAAGCAACTCTCTACGACGTGGGGTCTGATTCTTTGGGTGTGTGGGGGGGAGGCCGCCACCTTCCTGGACTGCAAGACAAGAGCCCTACCCATTGTGCTATCTGTCCCACTTCCCAGCTCTAAGAACAGGCAGATTAAAGGCCCCCACTGGATTTCGTCAAGTTTTTTTTTTCCTGGGAGTCACTTTCCCAGAGCTGCGAGCTTCTAATGCTGGATGATCCGCCACATCCTGACTCCGGCCTGACAAACACTAAAGGCGGCCCGGGATCAGGCTTTTCTAGGAAGCGGCAGGTTTCGGGGAAGTGGCGTCTAAAAATATTTACCAGCTGCCTTAGCACCCGGACATCGAAGGAGGGACTGGCTGCTTGGGTGTTCCCTCTGGACTTTTTCTGGAAATAAGAAAGAAAGAAAAACAGGTGAAAAAAATGCGATAGTTTAAGAAAAAAAAATTACTAAGACTATAGGATAGAACCTGAAGGATCATTTTAGGGAACTAAGTGACCTGGGGGAAAAGTTGGAGCATTCGTAAAATTTCAGGCTTTCTACGCTTGTGTATTCTACATCAATTAATCTGTACTTCTTTTGTTTTTTTAAAGTTGATGATTTTTATTTTTTATTTTTTTGCTTTTTGGGTCCCGCCCGGTGATGCTCAGGGCTGACTCCCGGCTCTGCACTTAGGGATCACTCCTGGCGGTGCTCGGGGGACCCTAGGGGATGCCGGGGATCGAACCCGGGTTGGCTGCGTGCCAGGCCAGCGCCCTCCCCGCTGTGCTATTGCTCCAGCCCCTATGGATGGACCAGATATTGATCAAGGTGCTGAACTGGGTGATGGACCCGATATTATTATTATCATTATTATTATTGTTATTATTTTGCTTCTTGGGTTCCACCCGGCGATGCTCAGGGCTGACTCCTGGCTCTGTACTCAGGAATCCCTCCTGGCAGTGCACTTGCTGGGCCCGGCTTTGACACTGAGAGGAGAATGGGGGTTTCCACAGAGCAAGGACCAAAGGCGACATTCTAACCTTTCCCTCTTCCTTCCTTCGGCCCAGAGGATTTCACGAGGTGACTCCCCGCGACTCACCTGCCCTTCTACCAGGTCACTGTCTTCATCCTTCACTTGCCCGTTAATCAGGTAGACGCCGTTTTCGATCTGCTGGGCCCAGCGTGCAAGCCCGTTCTGAAAAAGATGGCACAAGACCTTTCAGGCGGGGGTCCCCTCAGTGAAGCCCCGTCAGCCTGTATTTCCTCCTCCTACGCTGAGGCCCCCCAAGCCCCCAAGTGTCGGGAGTCTGGGACTCAGATTCTGTCTCATCCCCACAATGGTTCACCCCGAGGGCCTGGCACTGTGCCCAGCCTTCGCCAAGTCTTTCTGATCCTGACCCCCCAAATCCAAATCCGATCACAGATAGGAAGCACCGCGAACACCTTACCACGGTCAGCCCATGTGAGCATTCCCAGGATCGTGTGAAAAAATGTGAAAAAAATGGCGCCAGAGCGGGGAGGGCGTTGGCCTGGCATGTGACCGACTCGGGTTTGATCCCCGGCATCCCACAGGGTCCCCTGAGCACCGCCAGGAGTGATTCCTGAGTGCAGAGCCAGGAGTCAGCCCTGAGCATCGCCGGGTGGGACCCAAAAAGAAAAAAAAAAGGAAGAAAGGAAGGAAGGAAGGAAGGAAGGTAGAAAGAGAACGAAAGAAATGAAGAAAGGAAGGAAGGAAAAAAGGAAGGAAAGAGGGCTGGAGCCATAGACCAGCCTGGAGGGCGTTTGCCTTGCACGCCGCCGACCCGGGTTCGATCCCCGGCATCCCATAGGGTCCCCTGAGCACCTCCAGGAGTAATTCCTGAATGCAGAGCCAGGAGGAACCCCTGAGCATCGCCGGGTGGGACCCAAAAAGCCAAAAACAAAAACAAAAACAAAACAAAACAAAACCCTCGGAAATCAGATTTTCTCAAACAGGAAAGATGAAAACTGAAGATCAAGGGCCAGCACAAATTTTCGAATGTTGGTCACTTTTTCACCGTCACACTGCCTGTAGCGCAAACGCCCAGCACCGAGGAGATGCCCTTATGACCGACAGCTGCACATGGGGGTGTGGCCCACTTCTGGGCTTCTCACGTGGCCGGGCGACCGCGAGACGCCAGCTTCCCAGGAGCAGGCGATCTCCACGGCAGGGGCAGCAGGAGACGCGCTCGCCCCGGTACCTTGGTGTTCTTCTCCAGAGGGCAGCTGGCGGCTGCAGCGGACAGCGGGATGTGCAGGTTGACATCCAGCGTGCACTCCAGGGAGAGCCAGGACGCCGAGAGCCGGCTCTGGTACTTCCAGTCCGCAGGCTTGGCCGAGCTCTGGAGCAGCAAGAAGGGAGGGACACGCCCTGTGAGGGACTCGGGGAGCCTCAGTCTGACCCCCAGGGCCCCGGGACCCACCGTCAGATAGCGAAGGCAGGGAGCTGGGGGCAGGGACCCCACCGGTCCATTCAAGGACGTGGGCAGGGCTGAACGGTCGGAAACCAGACGGCTGATCACGCGGAAACCCAGAGCAGCCTTGGTGGACGTTACACAGCACTGTCCATCCCCAGGACCCCGCAATGCCCTCCTGCCTCAGTGCCCCTAATCCTTCCCCGGTGCTTCTTTCTGCCTCACGAGTGTGAGACCCAGTGCCAGGAAGTTCCCCGTACAGAGAGCAATGCGCTGTCCGTCTACGCTGGGTCGCGATTCTGTCTGGATGCCGGCTGCCGGTTAACTAAATCTCCTTGCGTTTCTGCCTACAGAAACGGTGTCGGTGTGATGAAGTGAACTTCGTGACAACAATGTAAAGAACGTGGATCTGTACAACGTCCTCTGGTTGTAGACCGAGCAGCGTGGGCAAGTGGGAAGAGATCATGCCATCTCACGTGCCCCAGCACAGCGAGAACAGAGCAGGCTGGCCGAGGAAGGGACAGACGGAGCACAGCTGGGGGATCTGATGCGCCCTGAGTGGGGGAGGGGTCTCGAGCTCACGGGAAAGCGTTGAGTCTCCGGCTTCTGCCGGGCTCACAGGGTCAGTGAGAGGCTCCGAGGGTCAGACCCAGGTTCTTGTCTCATCCCTGCGGATGGCACGGCACAGGGCTCACTGCTCTCCAACACTGAGCCTGGACGCAGCCCCTGTGACTGTCACCCTGGGGCCTCCCAGGCTGAATAGGGCACAGGGGGAGGGACAGCAGAGCAAGACTCATCTTGAGCAGGGAAAAGCCAGTGCACTTGTGGAACACAACTGGTGACACTTCCAACTGCATCACTGTGTAAGGACAACTGCATCACTGTGTGACTACAACTGCATCACAGTGTAACTACAGCTACATCACACTCTAGCTACAGCCGAAGTACAGTGTGACAACAACCGCATCATGGTGAAACTACAACCGCAGTACAGCACGACTAAAATTGCAGTACAGCATAACGACAACTTCGCCACAGTGTAACGACAGCTGCATTACACTGACTACAACCGCAGTGCAGTGTGGCACAACCGCATCACAATGGAACTACAACCGCATACATCATGAGCACAAATGCACTACAGCAAAACTACAACTGCATCACACTGTAACTACAGCTGCATCACACTCTAACCACAGCCGAAGTACAGCATGACTACAACCGCAGCACAGCATGTGACTACAACCGCAGCACAGCATGACTACAACCGAAGTACAGCATGACTACAATTGCAGTACAGCGTAGCTACAACTTCGTCACAGCGTAACTACAGCAGTATTACAGTAACTAAAACTGCGGTGCAGTGTGGCACAACCGCATCACAGTGAAACGACAACCACAGTACAGCACGACTACAAATGCAGTACAGTGAAGCAACAATTTCATCACCGTGTAACTACAGCTGCATCAAACTCTGACCACAGTCGAAGTACAGCGCGACAACAACCACATCACGGTGAGACTACAACTGCAGTACAGCACAACTACAATCGCAGTACAGCGTAACTACAACTTCATCACATTGTAACTACAGCTGCATTACACTAGCTACAACTGCAGTGCAGTGTGGCACAACCGCATCATGGTGAAACTACAACCACAGTACAGCACGACTACAAATGCAGTACGGTGAAGCAACAATTTCATCACCGTGTAACTACAGCTGCATCACACTCTAACCACAGTCGAAGTACAGTGTGACAACAACTGCACCACAGCAAAACTACAACTGCAGTACAGCATGACTACGATTGCAGTACAGCATAACTACAACTTCATCACAGTGTAACTACAGCTGCATTACACTGATGACAACCACAGTGCTGTGGGGCACAACCGCATCACGGTGAAACAACAGCCGCAGCACAGCATGACTACAATCGCAGTACAGCGTAACTACAACTTCATCACGGTGTAACTACAACTGCATCACACTCTAACCACAGTTGAAGTACAGCATGACAACAACTGCATCACAGCGAAACTACAACCGCAGTACAGCATGACTATAATTGCAGTACAGTAAAACTACAGCTTCGTCATTGTAACTACAGCTGCATTACACTGACTACAACCGCAGTGCAGTGTGATAGAGCCACATCACGGTGAAACGACAGCTGCAGTACAGTGCAACTACAGCTGTACCTGTGTGATTACGACTGCACCACGGTGTAACCAAGCAGCCTTACAGTGTAACTACAGCTGCGTTACAGTGTGACTACGATCGCAGTAGTGTGACTACAACTGCATTACAGTGTGATTACAAATGCACCACCGTGTACCTACAACCACGTCACAGTGTAGCTACAACTGCTGTTGCAGTGTAACAACCACAGCTGCATTGCGGTGTAACTACAACCGCCCCCAGTGTAACTACAGCTTTGTTCCGGTGTCATTACAACCACAGTACTTGGGAAACACAGCCCTGAAGTGGACAGAAGCGAGACCAAAGCTACTTCTCTTTGAAAAGTAGCTGCCGGCGCGGAAAGACCCCCGGAGAGGCTTGTTCTTACCTTTGGGTCCTGGATGTCGTACGTTCGACAGGAGATTCTTCACTAATTAAGGAAAGAAACGGCCGGGAGAAGACTCGATAAAGAAAAAACAAATGACCCGGGGACAGACGAAGACGCGAAACTCTTGTGTTCAAGTGTCTACAGAGCCCGACCACTCCAGCCGTGCGTCATGTGCACGCAGACGTGTACGTGTGAACGCAGAGGCACAAACCGCAGATGGCCGTGCTCGTGACGCTAGCAGTGCTCGCCTCTTGCTGCTGGATTCCGTTAGTTACAGGAACAAGGGCACAGTGGGGAGGGCGTTTGCCTTGCACGCGGCCGACCCAGGTTCGATTCCTCCGCCCCTCTCGGAGAGCCCGGCAACAAGCTACCGCCCACATGGCAGAGCCCGGCAAGCTCCCCGCGCCGTCTTTGAGATGCCAAACACAGTCACAACAAGGCTCACCATGGAGACGTTCCTGCTACCCGCTCGAGCAAATCGGTGACCAACGGGAGGACAGTGCCACAGTGACGAGCACAGAATCACCCGAGAGCTCCTGCCAGCTCCAGGCTCTCCTTGACCAGAAGGGCAGCGACTCTGGGGAAGTTCAGCCCGGGTGGGTTTCTGGGTCCAAGACCACGTGCGTGAAACATGAAAAAATAATCTGTCTGCGGGCTACGCCTGGAGGTGTTCTTGGCTCACTCCTGGCAGGTCTCGGGGGGGCCTGGGGGTGCCAGGGGTGGGACCTGCTGGAACCAGGCAAGCCCGGTGCTGACCCGCCTTCCTTGGCCTCAGACACGAAACGCTCCTGCGTAACGAAGCCCAGGTCCTGCAGGAATCATCTCCTGCTGAATTCTGGCCTGTTTGTCTCGGGGTTTGGGGGGAGGGTAACAGTCCCCTGAAACCGGGGTGCTTAGGGGCTAATCCTGGCTCTGCACTCGGGAGGGAGTGACCCCTGACGGGGTCCTGGAGGCCCATAATGTGGTGCTGGGAACTGAACTGGGGATGGGCCCGCACCTGACCCCTGTACGTCCTCTCTCCGCAATCCACACTTTCCGGGCCTCGCCTGTCCTGGGCCTGCCCTCAGTCACGTGACCTGGGCCAGACATCAGCATGTCTGGGCCCCCGTGGACACCCCTCCCCCGTCCCCCAGTGTAACTACAACTCCGGTGTATGGACACAGGAAGACAGTTAAAAAGACAAGCCTGTAACTTGGAAGTTGATTGACTCCAGATCATATTACTTCCTTGACTTAGGCCTCAGTTTCCCTTCCTAAATCCTCCAAAGCAGGGTCCCGACGAGGGACTGGATGGACCCAGGGCAGGCCTAAATTTTCTTAGAAGCCTGTATTCAGGGGCAGGACCGATAGGACAGGCGGGAGGGCATTTTCCTGGCATGTGTCCGATCCAGGTTTGATCCCTGGCATCCCATAGGGTCCCCCGAGCACTGCCAGGAGTGATCCCTGAGTGCAGAGCCGGGAGTCAGCCCTGAGCATCGCCAAGTGAGGCACAACCTTCAAATAAATAATAATAAACAATATTTTGAAAGTTAATAAAATAGGGGCTGGAGCAATAGTATACTGGGGAGGGCGTTGGCCTTGCACGTGGCCGACCCGGGTTTGATCCCTCCCCCGAGCACCGCCAGGAGTGATTCCTGAGTGTAGAGCCAGGAGTCAGCCCTAAGTATCGCCAGGTGTGGTCCCAAAACAAAAAACGTTGTTGTTGTGTGTGTGTGTGTATATACGTGAGTGTATGCAACTCACCTATTTAGTCTGGAAAAAAAAATACAACATGGGCCAGATAGTTCAGGGGGGAGGGCGTTTGCCTTGCATGTGGCCGACCCGGGTTCGATCCCCAGCATCCCATAGGGTCCCCCGAGCACCGCCAGGAGTGAGTCCCGAGTGCAGAGCCGGGAGTCAGCCCTGAGCATCGCCGGGTGTGGCCCAAAAAACAAACAAACCAAAGCACTGTCCTCCCGTGGTTCATCGATTTGCTTGAGCGGGCCCAGTAACGTCTCCTTTGGAGACTTTGTTGTTACTGTGTTTGGCATCTCAAGTACGTCACGGGGAGCTTGCCAGGCTTTGCCACGCGGGCGGAATACTCTCGGTAGCCTGCCGGGCTCTCCGAGAGGGACGGAGGAATTGAACCTGGGCCGGCCGGGCTGGCCGAGTGCTAGGCAAATGCTCTACCCATTGAGATATCGCTCCAGCCGAAACAAAACAAAAAGACTAGTTAAAAAAACACACACACACCTGTATTCGCCTGACGCCCCCACCCTGCACATAGCACCTGTGCGCCCGAGCTGGGCACCACCCTGAGCCCCTCTCGCCACCACTGCAGGGACAAGCGTCCGTCCCAGACACGCGCTGTCTGCAGGGAGACCCCGAATCCCAGCTGTCTTGGGCCTCACGGTGGGGACAGGAACAGACGCCTCTCAGAGAAACAGCAGCCCGGCCGCGGCAGGCTAGCACGGAGGCCCCGGGAAAGGATACTTCTTGGTGGACGAGCAGATGTGGAGAACCGCTCGCTCGGCCGTCTCCTCGTCCGTGAAGTGCCACAATCTCTTCTGGCCCAGAGACCTGCCCACGGCGAAAATGAGCTGGGGAGAGAAAGAGCAGAGGGAGGGAACAGAGGAGAGAGAAGGTGTTTCAGGTGGGGCGTTTTCCTTGCTCCGTCCACCCCGGGTTCGACCCCCGGCACCACAGAACCTGGAGTGATGCCCGACTTCAGATCCCGGAGGAAGCCGGGCAGGCCCCCAGAGCAAGGCAACGCGCCGTGTCCACACAACCCCGGGGAGACTCACCCTGCGCAGGGCGTGCTGCAACTCGCTGCCCGCTTCCGCAGCCGTGACGAGGAACACGCCAAGGACGAGCAGGCCCCCGGGCAGCATCCTGGACACCTGGAGACGGACAGCTGGGTCAGGCCAGTCGGGCACTGCCGGGACGGAAGCCGGGCGGGACACCTGGGCACCCACCCAAGTCATCGCAGTGTCTGCATGAAGTGACCGGACACCAGCTGGAGAGTGAGAATTCTCTGCCCGGCGCTGGACACTGGGCGAGACCTTGAGAAATGGGTCCCCTGGACCCCAGGGAATGCAATCGATGATGCTCCCCGAAGGACAGCACTTGAGAAACGTCTCCGGGGGCTTCCCCACAGCTGGACTCATTGAAGATTCCCGACTCTGGGCCCCAGGCTCGCTGAGAGGGGGGTCTCACTAGACACGACTTTCCCTGGTGAGTTTTGGGGTCCCTTCACTGTTGCCCCCGACACAGGCCTGGGCCCGACGTTTTCCTCTTTGTGCAGACGGTTCCCACGGCCAGGCCCGACTTTCTCATCTGATCCAGGCCTGGACACTGCTGAGAAGCGGCCGCCGACCCTGGCCCAGGGGGTCTGCAAACTTGGCCCGGGGTCTTAGTGTGGCTTACATCGAGGACACGTCGGCCAACGTACCTGTCACTTGCGAGCTTGTTGGAGCCTCTCAGGAGGTGAAGAGACACTCAACTAAGTTTCAACTACTCGAGTATTTATTTCGCAGGGCTGGAGCGATAGCACAGCGGGGAGGGCGTTTGCCTTGGGCTGACCCGGGTTTGATCCCCGGCCTCCCCTAGGGTCCCCCGAGCACCACCAGGAGCTTTTCCTGAGTGCAGAGCCAGGAGGAACCCCTGAGCATCACCAGGTAGGACCCAAAAAAAACCCCCCAGTATTCAGCAGGAACTTGGCTTGAAAAATCTGTGATTTTTCCACTGTTTCACCTGACCTTACATTTTCTTAAAAACCTGAATTCAGGGGCTGGAGCGATAGCACAACAGGGAGGATGTTTGCCTTGTACGAAGCCAACCCGGGTTCAATCCCCAGCATCCCATAGGGTCCCCTGAGCACTGCCAGGAGTGATTCCTGAGTACAAAGCCAGGAGTAACCCCTGAGCATCGCCGGGTGTGACCCAAAAAGAAAAAAAAAAGTTGAAAGCTGGAGTGATAGCACAGTGGGGAAGGCGTTGGCCTGGCACGCGGCCGACCCGGGTTCAATTCTCGGCATCTCATAGGGTCCCCCGAGCACCAGCCAGGAGTGATTCCTGAGTGCAGAGCCAGGAGTCAACCCTGAGCATCGCCAGGTGTGGCCCCAAAACAAAACAAAAAATAAATAAAAGACTAGTTTAAACACACACACACACACACACACACACACACACACACACACACACACCCTGCATTCACTCTCAGTGGACATTTATGTCATTTCTGCTTTTTTCTTTAGTCTAAAATAACGTTGGCTAAAAACTGTAGTCTAAGTTTTTGGGTGCTGGTAATTTCTCGGGGCGTGATACCGGGCCAAGAGATTCTGTGTCTTTTCAGGTTCTCAGCACATGACGCTCCCCCCACTCCCCCCCCCCCACCCCAGGCCAGCCGCGTGTCCATCACTCTCCCTGGGACTCCAACTCACTGTCCCTGGGACTCCAACTTGCCCTCGGCCCCCCCCAGGCAGACCCCGTGCCCGGGGGGGAAGTCGTTCCAGATCCCTCGATTCTCCCCTTTCCGCTTGCCCGCCTGGAACTGGCCCCGGAATATGCCTCTGACTGTGGTGAGAACCCAATCTTTGAGGACCTCTGGGGGAGAAAAAAATAAATGAACTGCACCGTGACTAATGAAGGAAGGAAAAACAGAGACAAATGAGGCTCTGAGGGCCCGGCCCAGGGGAGCTTGACTTCGTGACCGGGCTGGGCCCAGGAAGGAAACGCCGCCCTCGGACACCAGACTAGACCCCCCCGCTCCCGCAGGTTAAAACCATTTATAAGCCCGGATGGAACTGTGTTTTGGAAAGCAGCGCCGGTTCTGGAGGCTGCCAACGGGACCTGTGGCGGCCTGGATTTCCTCGACGTGTAAACCGGACCTGGCAGGCATGCGCGGCCACCCACTCCTCGTCCACGCTGCTGTCCAGGGCGGCCGGGCGGGTGGGGCTCTTCTCGCTGGGTTCCTCTCGGGCCGGCGTCCTAGCTGCGAGGATCACGTAGTCCTTCTGCGGGGACGGCTGCAAAGAACCGATTCAAAGAGCTGGTCAGGGCACACGGCGGGGGGAGGGATGTTGGCCTCTCAGGGCACGGGAGAAGGGAGTGACGCTGGCCGTGGGGACCCCCACGACACCACATTCACCACCGGTGCACGCCGCGTCCCTCCCAGAGAGCCTCCGACACAGCAATGAACGGGGCTTAGGCTAAAAAAGGGCCCAGAGAGAACAGCGGGAGGACGCTGACCTTGCACGTGGCCGGCCTGGACTGGATCCCGGCGTCCAACCAGGAGTGGTCCTTGAGTGCAGAGCCAGGAGTCGGCCACTCCCAAACCCCTCAAAACACAAAAACGGGGGCTGAAGCGACAGCACAGCGTGGAGGGCATTTGCTTGGCACATGGCTGACCCGGGTTCAATCCCCGGCATCCCCTAGGGTCCCCCGAGCACTGCCAGGAGTGATTCCTGAGTGCAGAGCCAGGAGTCAGCCCTGAGCATCGCCAGGTGTGGCCCAAAATGAAAAAAAAAAAAGCAGTAATATTATGAGTGTGTTATTAATATATTGTAGTAATAAAATACTATGTTCAAAGACTTCAGTATATTATCAGTATAATAGGAAGATTATATTACGCCCCTTGAAAATATCGTTTTTTTTTTTTAAATGACTTTGGGGGCCAGAGAGAAAGAAAGCACAGTGGGTAGGGTGCTAGCCTTCTACGTGGCGACCCGGGTTCGATCCCCGGCATTCCCTAGGGTCCCCCGAGCCCCGCCAGGAGTGATTTCTGAGTGCAGAGTCAGGAGTCAGCCCTGAGCATCGCCGGGTGGGACCCAAAGAGCAAAAACAAAAACACAAAAACGCAAAGACAGTGACTGCATTGACGATCTCTCCAGTGGCTCAGCCCGGCCCGTATGATTGTGGCCTGGGCTTCTTTCCCTGAGACCAGGACAGGCGGTGCACATATGTGTGCAGAACTGGCAGGCGTGAACCCCGGGGCACGGGTCTCACATTCGCAGCAGGAGAGGCTGGCCTGGGGGAGCTTGGGTCAGCCTCTCCCACTGCTGTTGGGCCAAAGCACCCGGCCCAACCGGCCAGCCAAGCACTGCCGGGAACAGCCTAGGAAGCCCCCTCAAGAGCCCACCCCCCGGAAGAGGCTCAGAAGGTGACCCTCAGAAGGTGAGCCGGGTGGGACACGTGCCTGTCCTATGAGCAGGCCGGAGACGGACGCCTTTCCTCCGAGGCTGACGCTGGAGAGATACCGGCCGACGGCCTCCTCCACCACGTAGGTCCTGCCCATGGCTCAGGGCTGCCGTCAAGCCCCTACACCGGGAGGAGGAAAGAAAGAGCGATTTTAGGTGAAAACAACACAAGTGCAATTAACACCCGCGATTCTCACCAGGACGGAGTCATTACCGCAGGATTCCAGCCCGCCCCTCGGGGTCTCCCTGACCGTACTGCAAAACCCCCGACTGAGAACCCCGGCTGACACGAAGTAGGGAAGGAATGCTGAGCCTGAGACAAGGTAGTCAGCACATTGGGTTTTCTTCTTTTTTTTTTGCATTTTTGCAGCAAGCCCCGTGGTGCTCAGAGGTGCCGGGGTCGAACCAGCGTTGGCTGCATGCAAGGCCAGCGCCCGCCCCGCTGGGCTATCATCGCTCCAAGCCCCGGCCCGGTTCCTCATTTCCAATCTCCTCCTAAGGGGAGGGGGGCTCCGTGAGCTGAAGTTCACCCTCCAGCACTGCCCAGTCCCACCCCCAGGGGCACCAAGTATGGCTTAAAAGAAAAAATAACAACAACCCAGACCAGCTTGGCTCACTCGAGACCGTCCTCGCTGCCGACCTCACAGAGAACCTACATTCTCGCTTCTGAAATGGGGAAAGGAGGGTGCAAGGGAGCAAGGGCAGAGGGCACTTGCCTGGCACGCGGCAGACCCGGGTTCGATCCCTGGCATCCCACAGGGTCCCCCGACACCACCAGGAGCGATTCCTGAGAGCAGAGCCAGGAGTCAGCCCTGAGCATCGCCGGGTGCGACCCCCACCCCCCCGCTAAAAAACTCAGGTGGGAGAGTTCCTGGCACGAGGGCTGGGGGGAGCATAGTGAGGGGCCCCGAGGGCGGCCCCTGCAGTGGCTCCAGCCAGCACCAAGTCCATCCCTCTCACTGCTGGACCCCCCAGATCCGAACCTCTGCAGAACGGAACCGCCTTGGGCTGCCGCTGCTGGGGGCTCAGGCGAGGGTGGGGGGAACCAACTTCAGCTCCTCCTGACACTAGGGAAACCGGGAACGGGATGAGGACGGAGTGTGGATGCACGGGGGATTCTTGCATGTCCTGTGTATGTCCTACACATATAGACATATATATTCTTGCAATCCTACCTATGGGAATTCCTGCACATCCTACGTATGGTCTACATACGTATACTCTAGCATATCCTACATATATGCTACATACAGGCAGTCTCGCATGACCTACATACATGCAACACATGCGTTCTTGCATATCCTACATCTGTGCCGTGCACATGTATTTTTGCATGTCCTACATACATGCCATGCACATGTAATCTTGCATATTCTACATGTGTCACACACATGTTCTTGCATATCCTACATGCCACACACATGTCCCTGCATATCCTACACATGTGCTGTGCACATGTATTCTTGCATATCCCACATACATGCTATGCACATGCGTTCTTGCATATCCTACATATATGCTGTGCACATGTATTTTTGCATGCCCTACATACATGCCATGCACATGTAATCTTGCATATCCTACATGTCACACACATGTATTCTTGCATGTACTACACACATGCCACGCACATGTAATCTTGCATATCCTACGTGTGTCACACGTGTGTTCTTGCATATCCTACATATGTGCTACGCACACGTGTCCTTGCACCTTTCACCCATCAGTAAACCACTCCCCTTTTCCTGTCCCGCGTTCTTGGGGCGCGTCCTCCGGGCGCTGCGCTCGCGGGGGTCGCTCGCGGCGGTGCCAGGGGGTGGGGGTCGCCGTGGGGCGCGTGGACCCGCTGCCCGCCCGGGGTCGCAGCGGACCCTCCTCCCCGGGGCCATACGGAACCGCACGGGCTCCGCGATCGCCGGCCCAGGCCGGAGCGTCCCCCACCACGGCCGGCCCCGGCTTGTCCCCGCGCGACCCCCCGCGCGCCCACCTGCGCGTCCGCCCGCCCGATGCCCACGGGGGCGCGTTCACGGCCCCGGCTCAGCTCCCCGCGGCGCGCGCTGATGACGCAGAGGCCCGGCTCAGCTCCCCGCGGCGCGCGCTGATGACGCAGGGACGCCGCCTTTTCCCACCCGGTGCGCGCTGATCCCGCAGACTCCGCCTCTCCCCGCGGCGCGCGCTGATGACGCAAGACCCCGCCGATCTTCCCCCCCTTTCGCCCCGGCGGCGCGCGCTGATGACGCAACGGCCCCCGCCGTCCCCCGCCGCGCGGGCCCCCTCTCCCCCGGCCGCGCCCCGCCCCTTCCGGGCGCCATTGGGAGCGTGGCGGTAGCGCCCGCGGTCCGGCCCCGCCGACCCCGATGCCCTTTAGCGGCGCCGTGTCTCGAAGTCGCCCGAGAGGACGAGCCATGGCAGCGCGGGGCGTAGAGGGTGAGGGGCGCGGCTGTCGGCGCCCGCGCGGGGGGGGCGGGGAAGGGCGGTTGCGCGGCGGGAGGGGGCGGGGCGGGGCCGCGGGAGGAAGCGGAACGGGCGGGCGGCCTCGCGCTCCCGGAAGGGCTGGGACGCGTGGGAACTCGGTTTCCCAGGAGCCCCCGCGGCGGGCGCAAGCGCGCGAGCACTGCCGGGTCGGAGGTCGCCCTGAAGGCGGGAGCTCCAGGGCGCTCGCGCGAGTCCCGCCCACAGGGCCGGGAGCCGGTGGCGGCCGGAAGCCGAAAGCCGGAAGCGCGGGCGGCCGGGCCGGGGTCGTCGGAAGCCGGCGTTTCTCTCCCCGCGAAGCCGGAAGTTTAGCGCGTCGGGCCGGGCCGGGCGGCCGGAAGCCGGAAGCCGGGAGCGCTCGGGCCGGGCGGGGCGCCGGAAGCGCGCGTGCCCCTCTTCCGGCCCCCCCGCTCACGCGAGACTCCGCAGGGCCGCGGCGCGGGAGCGAGCGGCGGGCGGGCGCGCGCGGGGCGCAGGGCGAGGGCCCGGCGGGCGCCATGGCGGCGGCGCTGCAGCAGCTGCTCGAGCGGCCCGAGCTGGCCAAGCTGCCGCGCGCCGCGCAGGCCCGGCTGGAGAAGGCGCTGGGCGAGCAGCAGGCGGAGCTGGACGCGCTGCGGGGCCGCCACGAGCGCCTCAAGGTCGACAGCGGTGAGTGGGGGGGGGGGGGGCGCACACTCACAACCACACACACAACGCGGACACACAACCACACCGCGGACCCACAACCCCCGCGGACCCACAACGTCGCATGCACACCGCGGGCACAGGCTCAGCGTGGACACGCGCGCTGTCGCACAGTACCCCACGGACACACACACACACACACCCCCCACACAGAAGGCGCCGGGCGAGCAGCAGGCCGAGCTGGACGCGCTGCGGGGCCGCCACGGGCGCCTCAAGGTCGACAGCGGTGAGTGAGTGAATGGGGGGTCACACTCACACAACCACACACACAACGCGGACACACAATCACACCACGGACACACAAATCCCGCGGACCCACAACGTCGCACACACACCGCGGGCACAGGCTCAGCGTGGACACACGCGTTGTTGCACAGTACCCCCACGGACACACACACACACCACACACACACACCCCCACACACAGAAGGCGCCAGGTGAGCAGCAGGCCGAGCTGGACGCGCTGCGGGGCCCCCACGGGCGCCTCAAGGTGGACAGCGGGGAGTGAGTGAATGGGGGGGTCACATTCACACAACCACACACACACACAACACGGACACACAATCACACCACGGACACACAAACCCCGCGGACCCACAACGTCGCATACACACCATGGGCACAGGCTCAGCACGGACACGCGCGCTGTCACCCCCCCCCCCATGGACACACACTACGGACACCCACACACCCCAGACACACACTGCAGAAGGCGCCGGGTGAGCAGCAGGCCGAGCTGGACGCGCTGTGGGGCCGCCACCATGAGTGCCTCAAGGTGGACAGTGGTGAGTCGAGGGGGTCACATACACATGCAACACACACAAACACATGCCATAGACACAGACCCTGACACACGTACCATGGACACACAGTCACACTTGTGAGGTGGACAACGGTGAGTCGGGGTTGCAGGTTCATGCACACACGCACACTGCACACAGAGTCACAGAAAGTGGACAGCGGTGAGTGGGGGTAGGGGTCCTCACACAGTCACACACACACACAGTCACACACAAACATGCAAGGGGGACAGCAGTGAGTGGAGGGGTCGCGCACACTGAGTCACACATACACACCATAGACGCACACGGTGGACAGCAGTGATTCGGGGTCATGGTCACGCACACTCACCGTGCACACACCATATACACACATGCAAGGTGGACACCAGTGAGTTGGGTTGTGGGTTCACCCACACACACCGTGCATTGTACACACTATAGACACACACATGTTGGACAGCGGTGAGATGGGTCACGGTCACACACACACACCGTGCATACACACACACACTCAAGGCGGACAACAGTGAGTCAGGTTGCCCGTTCATGCGCACACACCGTACACACACACACGGTCACACAAACATGCAAGGTGGACAGCAGTGATTGGGCTCGCCGGGCCCCACACACAGTCGTGCACATACTCCACGCACATGCACAGGGTGGACAGTGGTGAGTGGGGGTCATAGGGTCTCACACACACAGTCACACACACAATGTGCACACTCTGTACACACACATACACACAGGGTGGACAGCAGTGAGTGCGGGGGTGCACAAGCCACACGCAGTCACTCACGCACACAGCCGTGCACAGTCACAGTCACGCACACATGGTCACGCACACAGTCAACACACATAAACACACTCGGCCACACACAGTCCCACACTGACACACTCGCACACACTCACATGGTCACACGGTCACACAAACCATACACGCTGTACACAGAATACACACAAGGTGGGGTGCAGTCTCGCAATCACATATACTCCATAGGCACACTCACCGTCACACCACACACACACACACTACACATCCACCAAGGGGAGCGTAATGAGTGGGGGGTCACGGATGTGTACACACTCACCATACACAAACACGCCGTACACACACACACTCACACCGTACACCCACCATACACGCACGTACCTCAGACACACATCATACACGACACCCACGGTGCAGAGACACGGTCTGAGGTCTGCCCTGGGCGCCGGGTCGGGGTCAGGCCGGGGGTTGCAGTAGCCCTGCCGTGACCCCCGCCTGCTGCGCAGAGCAACAATACTTCGAGATCGAGAAGCGGCTGTCGCACACCCAGGAGCGGCTCGTCGCCGAGACCCGGGAGTGTCAGAGCCTGCGGCTGCAGCTGGACAAGCTCAGTGAGTCCCGGACGCGGGTCCCGGGGGGCTGCCTGTGTGGGGCGGGGGTGGTGGGGACCCGGAGCTCAGGGGGCCGGAGGGGCGGGTGGCGCTGACCCGTGTGGCTGTCGCCATCGGCTGGGGTCGGAGTTATTGCTTATTGTTGTTTTTATTATTATTGTTGTTGTTATTACTTGTTTTTTAAAGTGTTGATTTTGGCTTTTGGGGTCCCACCCGGTGATGCTCAGGGCTGACTCCCGGCTCTGCCCTCAGGACTCCCTCCTGGTGGTGCTCGGGGGACCCTAGGGGATGCCGGGGATCGAACCCGGGTCGGCCGTGTGCCAGGCCAACGTCCTCCCTGCTGTGCTATTGCTCCAGCCCCTATGGATGGATCAGATATTGATCAAGGTGCTGAACTGGGTGACGGACCCAATATTATTATTATTATTATTTTGCTTCTTGGGTCCCACTCGGTGATGCTCAGGGCTGACTCCCGGCTCTGCACTCAGGGATCACTCCTGGCGGTGCTCGGGGGGACCCTAGGGGATGCCGGGGATCGAACCCGGGTCAGCCGCGTGCCAGGCCAACGCCCTATCTGCTGTGCTATTGCCTAGGTGCCTGGTTCATCACTCTTGATTGATTGATTGATTGATTCCTTTTCGGGTCCCACCCGGCGATGCTCAGGGCTGACTCCCGGCTCCGCACTCAGGGATCCCCCCTGGCGGGGCTCAGTGGGGGGACCCTAGGGGATGCCGGGGATCGAACCCGGGTCGGCCGCATGCCAAGCCAACGCCCTCTCCGATGTGCTATCACTCCAGCACTTTTTTTTTTTTAATGATTGACTGGCTAAAAGATGCCATAAGGGAATTTGTCGACTAACAGGGTCACGCGGTGAAGTTTGTTCTAGAAATGACAGCGATGCGCGTGCGCGCGCGTGTGTGTGTGCGTGTGCGCGCACACGTTTGGAATGGGCTCACGGGGCAGCCCAGCGCCTCTCTGGGCCCACGCGGTGGTCCTGTGAGGTGTTGACTGTTGATCGCGTTTTGGCTCCTCCCAGGCGGCCAGCTGAAGGCCGTCACAGAGAAGAACAAGGAGCTCGAAGCCGCCCAGGACCGCAGCAATGCCGTCCAGGTAAGCGGGGGCAGGGACGGACGGGCAGTGGCCGCCACGGGGGCCCGATCGTGCAGGGGACAGGCCGGGAAGACCTGTGGGGTGCTCTGCCCCCGTGGGGGCTCTTCTCTGAGTGCAGTTGGGTGCCGGGACGCCTTTCACTCTCGCCTAAGAAGCTGCGAGTTTCGAAACTCTTTGGCTGTTTTTTTTTTTTTTTAATTTATAATTCTGTCGGTTCCCCTTTTTTTTTTTTTTTTTTGGTCTTTAGCGTCCAGCGTTGTGGAATGTCCCGCTGCGTATGAGCGCTGCCAATTGCTTTTTTAATTTCTCCCCTTTTTTTGATTTGACAGAGGTTGTAGAGGTTTGGGATATAGGGGTTTTTTTTTTATTTGTTTGTTTGTTTGTTTTTGCTTTTTTGGGTCACACCCAGTGTTGCACAGGGCTGACTCCTGGCTCTGGACTCAGGAATCGCTCCTGGCGGTGCTTGGGGGACCCTGTGGGATGCCGGGGATCGAACCCGGGTCGGGCGCATGCCAGGCCAGCACCCTCCCCGCTGTGCTATTGCTCTGGCCCCCTTCCTCTTTATTATCGTTGTTGTTGTTGTTATTATTATTATTATTTGGCCTTTTGGGTCCCACCAGGATGCTCAGGGCTGA